TATATGCCTTCGCCAACAAAAAAAGGGGACGTGAAGTCTGACGCTCCCTCTAATGGAGATTGTGCGGCGGATCTCGAGCTGCGTGGACGGTGGCCATCTCTTTGACTTCACACTCGATGAGGCGTCACCGCATGAGCCGGAGATGGTGCGCGTGCATCACTATTACGTTGTGTCAACCGACCAGTCGAGCGCACACGCCTACTGCTACCTCTCCACACGCCTGTGTCCGCGTGACGTAGATGCGGTGCTCAGCAGCTGGCTAACGCTTTACTGCCGTGTCTTTGGCGTCACCACATACGAGCGCTTTCTCGAAATGCGCCACAGTATCTCCAACTCGAGCACTGAAGGTTACGCTCTCTTCGCCAGCGAGACCGTCGCGCGTGCAGCTTTGCGCGCTGTGGCCTCCAGCGGTGCACGGGCATTGAGCAAGCGCTTTGATAATGAGGCACTGACGCACCTGGTGCAGACGCCGCGGGACGCAGAAGCTGGAGATTTGGCGTCACCCCCCTTGTACGATGACTGGAGGTCTTGCGTCGACGAAGAGAAGCTGGTAGGCGCTACCCCCGCCCTGACGGAAGAGGGGCGTGAACTGCTGGAGGATCGCCTGCACAAGTCGCAGCTTCTTCTTCAGGCGGAGCGGTGTCGTCGTGAGGCAGATGTGGCGGCGTTGCGCGACACGATTGACGGGCTAAAGCGGGAGATAGACAACCTCGTTCAGGGGCACAAGAACCAGCTTCACGATTGTGTCGTGGAGCAGCGGAATGCGCTGCTTCGTCTCGAGAGCGACGTAAAAAACAGAGAGTCGGAGCTGCAGCGTACTCACAGCGCGGCGGTGGAGGAGTGGGTTCGACTACTAAAGCAGTCAACACAAGAAAATAGATCGCTGGCGCAACGCCACAACGAGGCATGCATAGAGCTGGAGCGCTGGCGTATCGAGTGTCAGCAGCTCAGGCATAGACTAAACGCCACAAGGGCGACGGCAACGCGCCCAATAGACTCCGTCAGTAGGGAGCAGTACAATGATTTGGAAAGGCGACATCACCTTTTGCACAAGGAATTCGATGAGTTGTCCGTAGAGAAGACGGATATGGAGCAGCAGCTTCAGAAGGTGCACCACGATTTATGTCTCCGTTCTAGGGAATTGGAACGCGCGTTGCAAGTGTTGAACTCCCTCGGAAAAGGGCTTGACTATGTATGGCGTGAGCTACCGCTTGTCTGTGAGTCTAGCGCCACTTATGCCGCATAACAGAGAATGGGTGAAGCAACTCTTGTTAAGAGGCAGTGGAGGTGTGGCCAGGAATGAAAAATGAGCTCGAACAAGACGGAGAGGGCCGTGTTGAAGTGTATCAGTTATTTTGTCTCTGTCTTCTCTGTATGCTAGTGGTGATGCTGTTAATGGTGCTGGTGGATACGGGAATCAATAGGCACTTGCTCCTCTCTCCCAATTCTCCGCGGTGCAGTTAGCGGAATGGTCGACCGTGCGACTCAGACACCCAGGAGCCGCTATGGTGCAGAACTGCGTGTGCACTTCAATGGCCTCTCGGCGCGCATGGGGTCCCTTGCAGTCTCAGCTGCCATGCTTTGCATCCTCAACGGTTGTGCGTACTACTTGTACTGGCGTAACGTCTTCCTTTTCCGATCCACACGCCCTGCAGCGTTCTATGCAGTGGCAGCAGGGGTGTTCTTCCTGTTTATCATGACACAGCTACTCATTCAGATGGCACTGCGCACCATGATTGAGCAGATAAGTTTTTTCGAGCGAGAACGTCAGGTCAAGCGTTGTTGTTTCATCTATGTTCTGGCGATACTCCCTTCTACAGCAGCGCAGATGTTGCTGTACGCAGATGGTTGGTTTGATGTCTCTATGCCGTATGGAGCAGTATTCGTCGTGACGGCGTACCTAAACATTCTCACCGGGGTATGCGCTTTGGCGTACATCTGGGTCTCCTCCTGCGTTGACTGGGTGCACGCTGGGGTGAGTCGTGCTGCCAGGGAGAAAAGAGCGGAGGTGCGGAGCAGCTGGGAAAAACAACTGACGTGTATCGTTGGCGCCACAGCACCTGTGATGCCACCGTCGTTAGATAGCACGCGGCCCGCGGAAGGCCGCCTGCATGTCAGTTCTTGATGCAGCTGCAGCACAGTTTGGGTATCTTAGTATTGCATCCGACCCTCTCCACCGCACATGCGAATGCATCAAATCCAACTCTCATATTTATTACCCCTGTATGCACGTGACACGTTTGATCCCCAGTGCTGTTCCGAATTGAATGCTTTCCTTCCCCCCTCATGCTCGATTGTTTGTAGTCTCAACAACAGATTATTTTTCAGCTAAAACAGAACTCATGGCCATGAACCCAACCAGCTACACGGACGAGCGACTGGACAAAACCACAGACCAGTTGAAGCCTCTCTTCATGAAGGCCTTCAACGTCCAAAATGATTCCGATGTGGAGTGGATTCTCTTCTCGTTTGCCCCCGGTCGCGTCAATTTTATTGGCGAGCATGTTGATTACATGGGCGGGTATGTGTGCCCTGCGGCTGTTGGTGACGGCTGCCACATCCTCGCTGGCCGTGTGAAGCATATCACTGACGAGAAGCTGCGCTTTGCCACCACCCGTGGCGAGTACTTTGAGCTCGATCACCTCGGTGACAAGGGTGGCAACAAGGCGTGGACCACTTTCATCCGTGGTGCGGCCACGATTCGGCTCGCCCACCATGGCGTGCAACTGGGCGCGGAGCCTCTGAAAGGATTGTGCATGATGATCCTCGGGACGCTGGAGATGGGAGCGGGTATGAGCGCGTCTGCCTCCTTTGGCGTGGCGCTGCTCAACACGTTCAGCACAGCTATCACTGGCCGTTACCAGTGTGCCACCACGACACCTGGACGTCGGTACGCCATCCTTCCCCGTGATTCTCACGAAGATATGATTGAGCTCGTGAAACAAGGGCGCCGCATTGAAACCGACTTCTGTGGAGTGAACGTTGGCATCATGGACCAGTTTGTCTCAGCCTTCTCTGTTGCAAACAAGTTCATGGTACTGGACTGCGGAGCGCTGGAGCACAAGCTCTGCGACATCACACCGATCATTGGTGACGACGCATGCTTCCTTCTGATCGACTCCATGATCAAGCACGACTTGCTCGGCGAAACTGCGGGAACGTACAACACTGTACGCAGTGATCAAGAGCACGCGCAGGAAAAGATCTCAAAGCACGTCTTTGATGGAAAGCCGTTTACCTTCACAGACCTCGTGCGTGAGCCGTCCAAATTCACCAGCGATGGTGATGCCGTCGCGTTCGTGAAGTCCTGCAAGAAGTATCTCACAGAGGGAGAGTTTGAGCGTGGCTACTACAACGTCACGGAGCAGATCCGCACACGTGACTTCATCACCCTCACAGACTCGAGCACCCCCATGACACATGAGGAGCGGTTCAAGCGCGCTGGCAGCATCCTTAATGAGGCGCACGAGGGCATGAAGACGCTCATGAAGATCTCGACGGATGAGCTTGACCTCATCCAGTCAACTATTAACGAAGATTCCGACGTTGCCGGTGGCCGTCTGATGGGCGGTGGCTTCGGTGGCTGCGTCATCCTACTTCTCAAGAAGAGCGCTGTGGACCGAGTCGTCTGCAACGTGCGGGAGAAGTTCAAGGCGCGCTTCGGCATGGAGAACAAGGTATACCCTATTGCAATGGGAGACGGTGCCTTTGTCGTGTCGCTGAAGGACAACGCCAGGATGGTCGGCAGCATTTGAGATCTCTTTGCGTTTATCGGTCAGGCGATACTGTTGATGTAATTTTTTTTTGGGTTTGTTCATACGGGCAACGGTCGATTTTTTATCATCGATTTCCCCATCAAAAAACTGGCAAACAAAGAAAAAACGATTTTTTTTTTCTTTTTGTTCCCCCGCATCCTTCTTTTCTTGTTTTTTACGTTATTCACCTTTACCCTTGGAAAATCATTTCGGAGTGTTTTTTTTTTTTTTGGTGGTGACAGCTCGCCGCACGTCGATGGCAGGTTTTAAACCCTTGTAGCTTTTTGATGGTCATATAACGTGTTCCTGTCTTTCAGTTGTTGTGGATTCTTATTGTTATTATTACTATTTGAGCGACAATAGAGCATAATGGATAATGTTCCTCGCGAGAACCGGCTTCTCGTGTACAGGCTGTGCTGCATTTGGGGGCTTGTCATTGGATCTTGGGCTGTGCTGCAGGTGACGACACCGCTTGTGTTGAAGGACATTGTGGGAAAGGAAGTTGCGCCTACCTGGCAAGGCGTGATGACCGCAACGACGGCTGTAAGTGGAATGCTGTTCTGTGGCCTTGTCGGGCACTACTCAGATCGCTTGGGGCGCCTCGAGTTTATGTCACCTTGGATGGTGTTTTTCTTTTTTTCCACAGTCTTGGTTACCTTTTCTGATGTCTTTCGCGTTATATATCCACTGTGGGTCGCGCGTGTCGCTGCGCTGTCGATTCCATCTACGGTGTTGCACGCGTTTTTGTCAGATCATATCAGCGGCAATGCGCTTCTGGAGTCGTTCAGCTACCTTGGAGCCACATTTGGCGTTTCGATGCTCTCATCTTCACTCTTGTGTGGGTTGATTGGGTGGTACTACTCGCGTGTGGCTTCGCTAATGTATGGGTCCTGTCTAAGTGGCATAGCAGCATTACTTACGTTGATGACGAAGGTGCCAGGCGTGTCGCGCTTCAATTCACCGGTCACGAATTCGAAAACAGAGTCCAAAGCAGAGTCCAAAACAGAAGCGACAGCACTGTTTCGTTTTGGAGGTGTGATGAATAGCCTTCGTGTTGTCTGTAAGGACACGCTTCTGCGGAACCTTATACTTGCTCTTGCCTTGCTGCGCGTTGGTAATGTGAACACTCACATGATGCTTGTTCTTTTTGTGGATTATAGACTGGGATGGGGTCTAATGGAGGTGAGCGCCTTGACAGGTATTTCAGCCGCTCTTGCCGTGGTGTTTCAACTTGTTGGTATTAAGTGCGTGGTCACGAGCAATGTTGTCCTACCCGTTCTTTTCATGACGTTGGCGCTGGCTCCTGTGGTGGCAGCAGGGTATGCCATGGCGATGACTGGATTCCAGTTGTATGTGGTTTCCCTACTGAGTGCAATGACAACACTCGCATCCACCATATTCAATGCAAAGGTCGCGGCGCTCGCATCGGACAACGGTGTTGCTGGATTAGCGTTGGGGTGTGTGGGCACCGTGCAGAACCTTTTGGAGATTGTGGCCTCACTATTCCTTGGTAGGTTGATGTCGTGGTCCTTCGTGAATTACCCTCCGACGCATATATTGAGTGGTCTCCCGTTTCTTGTGAATGGGTTATTCTTGACCTCTGTCGTAGTAATTGTGCTTTACTCCCACAGGCGTTATGGGGCAGGAAGGGTTTCATGGGAGGAGGGGATGGCGGTTAGTTGAATGCGACGCTCGCATAGATCCATCCTGTTTTTTATGGTTCCTCCTCCTCCTCCTCCTTCTCACCGGCATCAAGGAGATGACAATGAACTGTTTCCTCCATGCTGAAGAGCAAGAAAAAAACGCTTTTCGTGCATAGACTACGTGTCTGGACGAGTGTAAAGAAGCACTGTGTTCTGGTATCCTCTGGATATGGAGGTCTTGAGGTTCGATGAGAATTATAGTACCCACGAAATTAACTTTTTTTATCGCCTCACACGACGTGATATGACGTGTGTGTCCATGCTTCTGGTTCTAGTGGTGGTAGTATTAGTGGTGGGGGTGGTGGTGGTGGCGCATAATCACCACATTTCACAGCTGTGGCATCTTTGTGCGATGCAAAGGTTGGAAAAATGGTAAATAGAGGCATGGTGCTTCAGATGATGTGCGCCCCGCACTTAACAAATGGGCTTTGACACTTTTTTTTCCTGATAGGATTCCATTTTCTACACATTATTTTGTGTTTATATTTTTGCTCTTCTTTGAGACGCTTTCCTCTCATCTGTCAATCATCTCTCTTAAGCCGAACGGAGGAAGGATCAGTTGATATAATCCATTTGAAGACAGATATAGCAAGAACGTGAACACTTGAACTGAAAAATCCATTCAGTATGTTTCGACGCGCCTCTCGCTTGATGCTTAAGCGCTCCGGTATTACATATGCCGCAGCAGCGATTACGCCAACATATGTAACGCTTCTCTCAGAAGACGAAAAGATGCTTGTAGACTCAGTCCGTCAGTTTGGCGAGAGGGTTGTGAAACCGCGCACTCGCAAGATGGACGAAACAGGTGTGATGGATACTGAGGTCATAAAAGCAGCGTTTGATGCTGGCCTCATGGGCATTGAGTCCCCCACAAACCATGGAGGCGGTGGCATGTCTTTCTTTTCGAGTATTCTGGCTATTGAAGAGCTTGCCCGCGTAGATCCATCGGTGTCGGTCTTTGTGGATGTGCAGAATACACTTGTGAGTAATGTGTTTTACCGGTACGCAAACGAGGCCCAAAAGTCAAAGTTTCTGCCCGATCTCGCGAGCAGGTGTGTGGGGTGTTTTTGTCTTTCCGAGGCCGGAAGCGGCAGTGACGCCTTCGCCCTCAAGACACGTGCTGAAAAGAAAGGCGACCACTGGGTCATCAACGGGTCGAAAATGTTTATCACCAACGGTGGTTTCGCCGACATTTTTCTCATCATGGCGAACGTTGACCCATCGAAGGGACACAAGGGTATTACCTGTTTTGTTGTGGACAAGCGGGAGTCGCCGGGCATCATGGCCACCAGCGTAGGGTCGAAACTTGGCATCCGCTGCAGCTCTACAGTGGAGCTAAACTTCAACAACGTTGAGGTACCAGAGGAAAATGTCATTGGTGAAGTCGGTAAGGGTTATATGATCGCCATTGGAGCTCTCAACGAGGGCCGCATTGGGATAGGCGCCCAGATGGTCGGCATCGCACAGGGTGCGATGGATCGCATCATGCCATATCTCTTCCAGAGGAAACAGTTTGGTACCTACATTGGGGACTTCCAGGCTCTGCAGATGCAATACGCAGAGTGTGCCACCAACGTCTGCGCTGCCCGTCTGATGGTGTACAATGCAGCACGCAAGAAGTCCATGAACGAGACCTTCATCATGGACGCCGCCATGGCGAAGCTGTTCGCGTCGCGGGTGGCGGAGGAGACTGCGAGTAAGGCGATTGAGTGGGCCGGTGGCATCGGTTTCATGAGTGATTTCGGCCTGGAACGCTTCTACCGCGACGCGAAGATAGGCGCCATTTACGAAGGAACATCAATTATTCAGATGCAAACGATCGCAAAAATGATAAAGAAAGATTACGAGTAGCTTCGCTTTCTCTCTATTCCTCTCTTAGTTTTCTGGTGTTCTTTTTCTGTTGTATTTTTTGTTTTATATTCGGATATTGGGTAGTCCCAAGTTACTCTGTAATTCAGTTGCAAATGATCGCAAATACAATAGGAAGGGGCCCCGATTTCTGTGAGCCCGTTTTTCTCTCACCGCTTCTGAGGGGGCGAATGTTTTTGAACGTCTTTCACATCCTCTCTCTTTCGCTTTGTTTTTCGTTGCCCCTTTTTCTGCTCATGTCAGTTCTTTTATCTCTCTCCCACTGGTGGCTCCTCCTGGTTTTCCACACTCTCTGGCCGGTCTCGTCTTCTTGCCAACCCTTCTGCGTATTATTTTTTTTTTTACTTTCTGCGCCTGTTGCCTCTTCAGAGCAGTGTTTCTCATGGCAGCCGCCCTACACGCCTCCCGGGGGGGGGGGGGGGGNGGGGGGGGGGGGGCCTGCACGCTAACAGCAGCCCGTGGTATGCGCATTGGCTGATGGTTGAATGCGTCGCCCTTGTTTTATTATTATTTGCTCTGGGGCAGGCATCGAAGCAGCGCCCACGCCGTGTACCACGCAACATCGACCTTGGGAGGTGCACGTCGGCGGTGGGGGAGGCGAAGGCGCAACAAAGACAACGGGAAACTGACAGCGCGGCGTGCCCATGCCTGGCGAGGCCCCAACCATATATGCCTGACGACGAAAGTTTCTTCATACAGCGAAATCCTTAACACATCACTGCGATGCAGATAGTGCTGCAAGGACTTTGAAAGGAAAACAGACATTTTGACATCGTTTTCTGTTGTATTATTTATTTTTGGGGGCGGTACTTCTTTCCGTTTGCGTAATCTTTTTTTTTTGTTGTTTCGGGGGGAGGGG